TCTTGCCCTTATTTCCTCTATTTTACAGATGAAGAAACAGGCACAGAGATGTCAGACAACTTGTCCAATGTCGTGTTGCTGGTAAGACGCTGCAGGGATTTATTTGATTATTTTCCAAGTTTCAGATATTTATTAATCAATGTGAGCCCCAACACAATATACCAACATGACTTTGTGCATTTAGAGGGGAAACACTTCTTGGTTAAGTGGAAATTTTTGTTGAGTTTCTGGAAGACCTTCATTTCAAGCAACTTTATAGTGAAATATTTAGAGGTCTGGACCTTCCTTCTTCAGGCTGCTGTCATCTACAATCACTGAGTAGAGATTGTATTGATCATTGGGACCCACTTTGTTCCAGGTACTGGGTTATTCTTTCTGTCTCAACTGACATCTGGATGGAGCAAAGCCAGACACATGACATGCAGTGCTGCTCCAGTCCCTCTGGCTCCAACAAATACAAAGGGGAGGGGGGACCAAGCTAGAATGCTTCTTGGTCTAGTGGGGGTCTGGTGGACTGTGGTTACTGGAGAGGCCTTGGGTCAGGAAGGAGAGGAGAACAAATCTGCCAGGCCCGGCACTAAGTCTCTGCCTACAGGGTGTTACGTATACCAGAGACTCTCTTGCGAACCTAGTGTGCAATTAACAGGGGTCTCTTCCCCTTCATCAAGCAAGATAATTTTAATTCTACCCTAAATTGCACAGGTCATGTTTCTGGCCACTTTGCAACTTTGGAGGAGAATAATTTGTTTCAAACTCTAAAGCTCTGGGTACAGGGGTCCCCCTCTTGAAGGCTGGTCTTTCATACATAGAGCTATCCATCTCCCAGCCAAGGGTTTTGGGAAATGCACTTCACAACCGTCCCTGCCATAATAACAGCATTACTGAGGTTGTAACCATAGGACCATTATATGTGGCCACTAGATGGTTCCTATAACTTCACAAATATTCCACTGTGTCTTTTCACCTCCCTTAAGGGTTCTTTCATTATTCGAGTTGGCTTGCCAAAAGGCACTGAAATGTTCCACGGGTCTCCTATGGGATGCATCAAAAATATATACATTTTAGCTCAGCTGCCATAGTCAATATTTCTTCTCATTATCTTAACCATATATGATGCTTTCTTAGGACTGTGAGCATTCAGACAAAACAAAACATAGTTGCATCATTTTACTATGGAATTTTCAATCCCACTTAATAGAAACAATGTAAACAGCTTTATCCCTATTGCTGGACATTTTGGAAACAGGGGTGTTTTGGAATGAGCATAGACTTAATGCAGAACTGATTGTTTTAGGAGACAATAGTCCTGCAGGAATTCATGCTCTTTGGTGAGGAAAAAAAAAAACCCAAAAACATCCACAAGTCCCAGCCACAGACAGCATTTCCTCACTCAATCCATGGCCACGCTGGGAGGCCCTGTCACTCCCAAATGCCTTCTCCTCCATCTTCTCAAGACAACTGTCTTCAGTCAGGTGGGTACTTGGGGGCATCCGGACACCTTGTACTGAGCAGTTGACCCAGCCACTGGAGAAGTCTGTCTCTGCAACCCCTTTGCTTCCACTTTTTAGTATTGTGGGTCAAAGCTCATAGAAGGGTTAGATTTTAAAGACTGAAATTGTGACCAAGCACATCCAGTCCTGCCAAGTCTTCTCCCACACTAAAACGGAGGTGGCTCCACGGACGGGTGAAGGGCATATGGGAGCTGAGGTGGGCAGAGAGCACCTGACTCAACACTCAAGCTGGAAAATACTTTCACTAAAGGACCGAAAGATCTACACAATCTCAATTTCATCCCCTCACTCGCTCACTCTTACTCCCTCTGCATCGCCTGGTCTCTCTTTCTCTCCCTTCCGGGCTGTGCACTGTGGGAGAGCAGGGCCCATAGCACCTTTGTTTCTGCAGCCTGGTGCCCAGTGCCCCGTGACTTAAAAACCAAAGGAATGAACGTCCAATCCCGGCCAAAAGTGAATCAAGAGGGTTAAAAGATAACCAAAGCAGCCCACTCTGGCTCAGCCACTCAGCCTCTGTTCACCAGCCTTGCTCTCACGAGAGTATATTGACGCTTTCTCTGAGCCCGGCTTTATTTAAAGTTTGGGGAAATCCAATTTAACTATGACCAAGGTTCTGACCCTGTATCTCTACTTACTCAATTACCAATTAACGTTTCTCTTATGGCTCCTTTGGGGACAGCTATGGGCCCAGGAGTATAATGAAGGCATATTGGGCAACCTCACCAAGAGAAGACTTTGGGAGACTGAGGGCCTTTGGGAAATAACTCATCCCAAGAAGAAGCTCAGAGCTCTGATTCATGAACACTGCTTCTAAGACTCAGAAAATCTCCCAATCTCTAGGCAGCATGATTGAGCTCTAGGAAGATGGGCGTGTATGAAAGGCTGAAGCAGCCTCAAGAACTATGAGTCATCAAGAAACAGATGGAGTTACCCTGTTCTTTACATGGTAGAACAGACTGCATTATTGCTTCCAATTCTTCACTCCTCCCTGTAATAGCCATCTGTGCTCTTTACTGGACGACTTTACAGTTCTTGTCACTAAAAGTCCTGTCTCTTAACTTTCATTTTGGCAATATGACTTGCTGTGACCAGTAGAATAAGGCTGAAGTAGAAGTGCACCAGTTCTGAGGGTAGGCCCAGAGTCCCTGCATGCTTCTGTTTGCCCTCTTGCACCCTGTCACACCACAAAAGGAACATGCCCAGCCCACTGGTTCCAGGAGGATGATGTAAAACACAAACACAAGAAGTAAAGCTGAACTGGGTTACCCAAGCTAAGCTAAGACTAACCTATCCTCTGCTGACCCCAGATGCATGAGCAAGTTAGTCAAGATTCGCTGAATCCAGTTTGGGCCAGCCAACCCTCAGCTGACCTGCAGGCCCATGAAAATAAATGATTGCTGTTTGAAGCCACTGAGCTTTGAGGCCACACATGTTACGCAGCATATTTCTGTGGTAACAAGCTAGCTGATACACTTAGGGGCTGGCCCCGGCCACCATGCTGTTTATTCACACATTATCGACTACTGGGCCAACAGAACAGAACTCAAGACTAATGCTCTTGAGAGGCAGGTTGGAACTGTGGAAGCAGCTTTACACACAAGTTACCTAGTACTGACCATGCACCTCAAATTTTATATCTTAATGTGTGAAAAGCATGATTCATTAGACATGGATTTGTCCATCCACAAAGGGTGGTAGGAATATCAGGATGTTCGTCACCTAATATTTATCCTTGAAGCAAGTGAATCCTTTCCTACCACATGAAGTTTTCTACATCCAAAATAAACTTCCAACATTTACAGACTGCTTCAAGAAAAAATAAATCCATATATTTTTGTTTCATGTTACCGTTTCCTTAAAACACTTTTTAGATCTATTTAAAACTGAAATTAATGGCCTGATAATTTATGAAACTCCTTTAGAATTGGTTTCTCTAAAAATCCCAGGAGGCCTTTCTTACTAATGCTAAACAACTCGAAAAGCCACTCCATGAGTCTGAAGTTATTTTGTAAGCTTGGCAAAACATGTGCTACTTTAATCCATCACTCTCGTCCTAAGCAAAAATAATGCTAACTCATATTTAAGTGGTTTGGAAGAGTATTTGCCTGTGGGGGTTGGGGGAAGAAGTTACATCACCGTTCCTCCAATAAACTCAAACAAAAGAAAAAAACTACTTTAGTATTACTTTTCCTTGATGAGATGTAGAATATTTATCATCATAAGGAAAAGTATCCTAGGGTAGTCACTAACTGATGAAGGGGTATTTCTTTCATTCTACCACAACTTAATTCTCACAGTTACAAATAAGGGGCATTTTAAAGAATAACTATCAAAACTGGTGAATATTATTGAGAAATGGTACTAAGTCATATGGAAGGGCTTTCTGGCCCCAAGGCTAAAACAATCTTTCAGAAGGAATTGTCTCAAAAGGAAATCATTCTCTGAAGTGCGACTAAATGATTAGGACCAGCCTCTTTAACCTAAAAGAAGTCTGAAATAAAAGGTTGGCAAAGAGGAAACAGAAGGCCTCTGTGCAAGTTCACCTTTAGCCTGGGGGACTCAGTCTGCAGGAGGAAACCCCGACACAATAGAGGGACTGTCTGTTCACTTGATCAGGACGGCCTAGGCTCTCCTTCACCCCCATCCTGCCTCCTGCTGCCATGACTGTTGTTCAAGCAGATGCTACTGTTAAGGGTGGGGAAAAAATTAGAAGAACATTTATTTAATAATAAGTTGAATCATAAGAAATGGTTCCAAACAGTAGAATATTGACAGATCCACATGCTCCAATTCAATACAATGAATAAACATGAAATACACCCTTCCTAGCACAAACGCTCACTGAAATAAAGGCTAAAGTGTCAGATATGGAATTATAAGCTAAACAAAAACCAAACTACCCCCCAAAATAATAGCTAAGAATTACTGTTCAAATGATTGTATAATATGCATTCTTCGACATTTTTACTTTGTATCGATTAGTCTTTTTCCTGGTCCCTTATTTAGGTTTTCTAAATTCCTGCTATGAGTGAGACCATCTGGTATTTTTCTTTTTCTTTCTGGCTTATTTTGCTGAGCATGATCCCTTCTAGCTCCATCCATGTTGCTGCAAACTGCATGTGTTTATCTTTTTTGATTGCTGAGTTGGGGGGGGGGCGCGGAGGGGCGGGGAAAGAAAGGACTAGAGTCAAAATAAGGGGGGGGTGCAATTGTATGGGGAATATAACCAAAACGAAAATGCATACATTGTGCAAAGATGAAAAAACATGTAAGAATTATATAAAATAAAGTAAATAAAAAATAAATAAAAATAAACAATAAACATTATGAAAACATGAAAAAATATGCATTCTTCAACATGCAAAATAGTACTGTGATCTACCAACTCTACTTACCCTCTTCGGTGGGGAAATATGCAGTCAGGCTTTGGGCCTGGGGTCAAGGCAAATGAGCTTTGCAGAACAAAATCATGAAGGAACAGCGACTTACCTGGAGAGCAGCAGCTGACCCCGAAGCTGCAGGTCGGTGGCACAGTCCTCAGAATGGCAATTCCTTTCAAAAACAGTCTAGGAGAGAGATGCAAAGCAAGTCACAACCAGGGGAACAATGCAAAGTAAGTCAGAAGCAAGGGAATGGCAAATGAATAAATAATTCAACTATCTTCTTCCAAAGCCAGGGAGATTCTCACCTGAGCCCTTCAAACTCTCTACCCTCACCTCCACAGAGCCAGCTCCCCAGCATGGTGAGGCACCTGTGGCAGGCTCCAAGGACACCCACACTGAGGCAGGCTTGACGTCAGAGCACATTCCTCATTTGACTCATTTCTCAGTGGGCAGTGGCATGCTGCTTCAGGTCATTTTCTTCAAGGATATATGTCAGGTGTTTTTCCATCTCTGTCTGAAAACAGCTTTAAAAGCTCTCAGATAGGAGGGAATGCTAATCTAGTTGCATCAAGAATCTTCAGGTTACAGTCAGGTCATTTCCATCTGTTGTCTTGAGGAGGCAGAAAATCTACGTGAAATGGGTTCTGCCTGAACAATAAAAGCGTGCTGAAATTTTTAGCTCCAAAGGGAAATGTCAAAGGTGACGAGACCCTTTCGCTGAGGGCCCACAAGGCTCAAGGTCTGAAGGGATCGTTTGCCTTTCGTTTGGTGGGGCAGCAAGTAGTTTATAAGGACACAGTGTCCTGGCTTTAGCCAGAACTGGGTCTTCACGGCCAAAGTCCCACCCAGGGCTGAGGCCTAACGTTCAGTGTGCCAAGCCCGACATCTTGCCAGAGGACTTGGGGGTGTGTGCCTGAGTTGGGACTATCTGGGAGTTTGGCCGAAGAACCAGGAACAGTGCTTGGGAAGGAGTTACTTTTCTTCCTTCTGTGGTACATTGCAGGCTTCCTAGCCCTTCCCCAAAGTGGTCTCAATGATTCTTTGTTGTTTCTAATCTATGGACACCAAGATCCCCCATGTTCCAGACTGAGACTCGAAACTACTAGTAGCTGGCCTTGATCACATCAGTAGGATTTAGGAAGAACTTGTTGACATTTTTTAGTAATAATTTATTCACTACTAAATTTTTTCATTGGAACGGTTCATATTTGTGAGTCTTTCCCCCACAGGACATAGTTCCAAGTGATTTGCTCCCCTCACGCCGGATATGTCCAAGCGGCTTCTCAGAGTGCCAGCCTGGACTCCACCAGTCTAGACCCAACCAGACACAGTAATTTTGCCTATGGAAATTCATATTCCTGTGCTACATTTCCAAAAGAATAAAGTGTCCCAGCCAACATTTCCTGCCTTGATTGTGGGAGAAACACTCATGGAAGTCTTGGGCAAAAAAGAGGAAATTCCCATTTTTTTTGGACACTACCAAGGGCAAGGAGAGAGCCAAATTTCCAAATTTCAATATAAGACATTTATGCTTTATTTGCCACCTCAAACAAATTGAGTAGAAAGTTAGTGTGAGGATGAATGTCTCAGGAGAGATGAGAAGAAAGGATTTTGAGGTTAGGAATATGGTAAAACACCAAAGGCAGTTTTATTGCCAAGTTAATGAAAATTAAGCTTGAGGGTTTCATTGACAGAGGCCTACAGAGACCTTGCACCTAACTTTGTCTTCAAAACTTTACATTTTTTCTTCAAGACTCTCCACTCCAAGTTTTATAAGCTCAGGTTCCACAAAACCTAGTTCTGGCTCTGGTTACAGGTTCCTCCTTACATTTATCTTTTCCATTTCACAAGCAAGAGAATCTGACCTCTGAGATTAGAAGAGGGATGTAATGAGATATAGGTGAGAACTGAGGAGGAGGATTTGACCCAATCCATCCTGTGGCATACATTCTGGCAGGACTGAGCCAGGCTCTCCTCAGTTCTGTGACCTGGCTCTCTCCTGTCAGTCAGCCTTGGACTTCTAAACTCAGGGCCTCCTCACACTCAATCCTGGATTCCTCCAACAGCTTACCTAGCATGTCAACCAAAGCCAAGTCCCTGAGCTCCCTGACAAGCTTGGGCTCTGTTGTAAGCTCTTGACGTTCCATGTATTTTTTTTCCCTTCTACTTCTCATCTCCATGGTATATAATTAACTTTATCATCATGTTTCATGTTTGTCTCTCTTGTTAAAATCATGCTCCACAAGGGTGGGGCTGTGCTGATCTTATTCACCTCTGTTCTTCCCTCTGAGCCTTGCATGTAGAAGTTGCTCAGTCAACACTGGAAGACCACATGGTGCACTGAGAAATGTGGTGACCACTGAGAAGTGGGAAAGTCAGTAATGGACACCATAATTGGGGTCAAAGCTCATACACTGCTCAACACCACCAAAGCTGTAATCCCCAACCAAAGCACCTGTTTCTCAGCTACATGCAAGTACAACACCTCCTGAGGAGGTGCCTTTTAAAAGCTCTGTCCTTGGTCTGTACTCTGTTCTCTATTTTCCTGCCCCTGAAATTGATTTCTCTACCTATTGATTCCTCCAGTGCTATTGAATTTCCATCAGCAAAGGAAAGCACTGAGTCTGCAATATATATAAGCACATGTACATGCATAAAGGAGGGCAGACCAAAGCTTCAGAATGCTGGTTGACAATACAGAGTTTCCAGGAACAAGTAGAAATTTCTCTTATGCAAAGTACAAAGTATATAGGTTCTCCATGAAGCCAATGAGCCAAACCTCCAATGTACTTCTACCCACATCTTCCCAACCTTCTGGGCAAACACAAACTTGGCTGTTCTAAATTAGGTAAACTCCATGCAGGTCTCTTCCACCTCCTTCCATCCTCTACCTGCTAGTTTGCAAAGCTCCATTCATTATTTTTTTAACCTGGAAAGTGTCTTTCTGGAAAATGGAAATAGATCTAAAAAGCCATCATCTCTTACTCCTCTCTGGCTAAAGAAGGTTGAACCCTTTCTTTTAGGAGATGATGTATCCTACCTCAGGCTTCAGAGAGCTGTGGGATGGAAACCCAGTGACTCCCCTCAGCTTCAGACTAGATTTCCATGCCAGCCCTTCCTCACTGGGTCTTCACCTTGGCCCTTACAAGTTTCCTTGGAAAATAGCTTTACTATTTATTTTCAACATAGAAAAATCTTACGAGGCAAATGTCAAGCAAGCATATCAACATCTTAAAAAACAAAGAAAACTGAGAAGTTTAAGTACAAAAACACTTGTACAGAAAAGTTGTCATCCCAACAGTTCCAAACACATACACAGTTTTCCCCTAAAATTTACTTTTGTCAGAAATAAGACACATTGTCTCAATTTCTCCAACTGTTTTTCATTTCTTAAGAAAAAGAAATTTGTAACACTAAAGAGGCATTGACTTATTTCTTGAGATGACCTTATAAGTGTAGCAACTTCTGTAAGTTTATCAGGAAACATGAGTGGGTATCATGTTATTGCCCACAACCCCATTCCTCAACTCCTGGTTGGGCATAGAGGAGAGAGGAGGTGACAAAGACTCCTTTACAGAACCTGATGGTGCTGAGACAGCTGAAGCACAGCCACCAATGAGTCAGGTGTGTGTCTACTGGGGGCTTCCCCACAAATCATTACTACTTTAACAACAGGGTTAGCAGATTATTTTCTATAAAGGGCTAGGTAGTAAATATATTCAGCTTTGTGAACCTCCACTGCAACTACTTAATTTTGCTGCTATCGAATGAAAGTAGCCATAGACAATCTATAAAGGAATGGTCCCAGCTGTGTCTCAATAAAGCTTTATTCATAAAAGTAGGTGGCAGACTGGATTTGGCCTGCAGGCTGTAGGTGTAGAATATTTGGCTAATGACTTTCTCACTTCCGTCAGGCGGGAAAAAACAAATAAGTCCAGCTAAGTTTGGAGCCAGAGCACAGAGGTTGGAATGTAGCTTCTTCACAAATTGGGGACCTGGAGGTCAGTGGCTACCCTCCCCAACCAAGGCTGACTTCATATACCCAAGGCATGTGGTGTCCATTTCTCCTCCCAAAATCATACTGGCAGCTGGATATTTAGTTTATTCCAGCTGCTTTGTTCAGAGGAGGGTCAGTTTCTTGGACTTGGTGATATTTACTTTAAATAGATATATAACGAAAAAATTAACAACAAAAATAAATGAAGAATATATAATCACTGACATAGATGAGATGCTGTTTGGGTCGCTATGACAACTAAGCCCCAGGCTGGCCTGTGACAATAAGATGATTGGATTGACTGGACATAAATGCTTTTCAAATTTCCCAAGGGGACCACACACAAAAAGGCTATTCTTAAACTAAAATGAACAAGATGTTTTCTGATAGACAATATGACTTTGCAGAGGGTCTTTACTTAGATGATAAGAGGGACATTTCTGAACTTGGCTTTCCCAGGGCTGCACAGCTCCTGGAGGCCCCAGTAACATCTACCTCAGGACACAATGCCCAGTTCCCAGCAGAGCATTACAATGTTTTTTGAGTAAATGCCATGACCTGACTGTGTGAGGTTTCTCCTTTCCTATTCTGTTTCACTGGGCTTTTTCCAGAATCCTACAGTGTCCTAAATGTGGCACATCGTAAGAGCTCAGGGGGTCCCAGCAGTCTCAGCTTTAGTCAGCTTTAGTCAGGGCTGAAGGAAGGTGTCTCATTGAAAATCAGGTGTTTAAAATCAGGTCAGACAGAGTTGCTGTCTATAGAATGTCATACCCACAAGAACCAATCTTACTTTGTAAGATTAAAAATTCCTTCTCTCTCCAGGTCTGAACAAACTGTCCTTTCATATTTTGAAATCACGGGAAGACAAACAGTCCTACAGACACAAATCCAGCACCAATTTTAAGTGCTATGTTCTGTCTTTGGCAACTTCTGGCTTCAGCAGTTCTGCAGTGAGAACAGTCCCCTCTGTCTAAAGGCATCATTTTGATGACCCAGTTCAACCCCCTGAAGAACTGAGTGGGAGTGAGCTGCTCAGGGAGGTCCTGGCCCACCAGAGACCAGATCTGGCCCTGGACTCACCAAGTGCCCTTGCCTAGCTGGGTGGCCTTTTACAGCCCACATTTTATGTCCCTCTACAACTTTTAATATCAGGCAATAACTTTCTTTGAGGAACCGCTGTCTCCCA